TGAGGTTTAAATATTAAAGTTTAGGGCATAGTTTAGATGATTGACAACTCATTCCTTGTAAGTTTTTTTTAAAATTTTTCATGTATGGATCACTGCTCTTGTACTAATTAGGATGGAGGGATTACACAGCATATAAAGGTGCCGGAAGAATTTCTCATAGACCAGGCCATGAACGAAACAATTTATTGGAATGTTTGATTGATTTTCGGCAGCATCAATGTTTAAAGTAAAGTTGGACAATAAAATAGGCCCTGAGCCGCAGTGTCGGCCTTGTAAAAGAGATTTGGGTCTTCCAAACCTACTTCAATGGAACAAGGAGATCAAGTCAATACGGGCTGCTAAACCAGAATTCTTGGGTTTTAAGGTATGCACGTCACCTAAGAATGTAGCGGGCTTTGAAGCGTGATATAAATTAGTCGAAGAGAAGGATTCTAGAAAATGTTCATGGTAATGTTTTGAAAGAATCGAGTCGTGCGGTAATAGTTAGGACGCAAGAAGCATGCAGTTGAAAAAGGGAGAAGAAAGCTAACCAACAGCCAGATTAAGTAAGAACTTGCCATCATCAACCACAGAAGAGAGAGGACCGGACACATAAAAGAACAGACGTACGTGAGTAGTAGTAACGCAACAGACATCAAGCTCTACTCCCATTATAATAGGATGGATACCTCTAAAATATCAATAATTGGCTGTGTTAAAAAAAAAAAAATTGGTTTCCAAAACAAAGAACGATGGTCACCTTTTTGGTAAATTGTTTAGTGATAATTTTTTTTTTTTTGGTCGTTTCATGTTATCATTAATGCAAGAAATGTTGCAAAGTTCTTTTAACATTCACAATTTCACTCAACTTCGACGAAACAAAATACATACCCATTTTGCTTCAGAAAAATAATTCAATTTGTTGAATTAAATAATAATACAACAAGGTGAGCGATATATTTTTTTGAGAGCGGAAGGATCTTATATTTTTTATAATTATTACAATAAAATTTTAAACACGAAACCAAATAAATATTGTACCACATACTTAAAATACTCGCTAAGAACAAACTTTTTCTTCAGTATATATAACTATCAAAAACATAAGTTCGCAACAAAACTGAATAGTGAACTTGGTTAAATGTTACGTAAATAATAAAATAAAATTAGTGGCCATTAAAGCAGTAAAATGCTAATATTTAATCTTTTTGACATTGTTGAAATTTAAAAAGAAATTACGGTCAAATAGAAACCTAATTAGTAAAATAAAATTATAGTACTCTCCACTTAAGTATTAAGATCATTAGGTTTGTTTTGGGGGGAGGTTGACATTGTTTGTCCAAAAAAAAAAAAAAGAAAGAAAGAAAGGCAATTTATGTCAAATTTTCCCATTGGCTGCCGCGTAGTTATAATGTATGGCGGGAAAAGATTTCTTATTTTGTTGGCAAATTGCACTATCAAACAGCCGCAAAGACAAACACAACCGGAAATCGACCCTTCGATCGATTTCCGGTCAAATGATCTACATAATCAACCAATTGAAGTGTGAATTCTCATACCGATGGGAATTCATTTCAAAATGTCGTTGTCATTCATTATTGCTTGTATTTTTAGTCATCGCAAGAAAATATACTCCTTCCGTCTCAAATAATTATTTTACTTATTATTATACTTATGAAACAAATGAAGTACTCCCTCTGTTCCAAAATTATTGTACAGTTTAATATTTCACTTTTAGTAGAATTTGAACTAAAAATAAAAACTCAAACTGGACAATAATTATGGGACGGAGGGAGTACTTAAAAAAAGGCAACTGCCAAAGTCCTGCCCAAGATAAGCTTTGCCTAGAGCCACTTAATCCAAAAATTAAAATGATTAAAAAAAAGGGCAAAATGCTTCTTTTTTTTTTTAATTTGGTTGGATTACGTTGTCCATGAATCCCTACATGAATCATGATTCATGCATGCATCTAATCTCCTATTTCAATCAACAAATCCTCTGTGTTTATTGTGTTCTTGCATGGCCCTTAGCCCAGTGGCCCTATTGTACTAAGTTTTAATCCTTGGAGACTTCGTGAAATTTCTCCTACATCTTATTACTAAATAAACCTCTCGATTCAAGAGTCAGTAACCATCTACTCGTTTGACCATCTAACGGAAAAAAAAGATTATTATGAGCCACTGCGTCAAGTCAACTATTGTCTTAATTATAATTTACAATCACTTGTAACGTTTTGAAACGATAGTCTTTTTGTAAATCTTATTATGCCCGAAAATATAAAAATATATTCCCTTCCAAAAAATAAACACATATTTTCTCCATATTTTATCCAAATTAAACATGCACTCCATCTACTCATTTGACAAAGAAAACACGCAGTTTTTTTATTCTTACTAAATTTGTATTTTTCCGTGCCAAAATGATGATTTTAAAAATACAAGGTAACTCGTTGTGGTATACATGTGGCGATTCAAATCCACGTATAAAAGTTGCCAAAACGAGAATGTTAGATTATATATATGGAACAGTGGGAAGTATCAAATAGCTATAGAAGGCCTAATTTGCTCACGCAACTTCAATGACAATGTGTACAAGGATTTAGCTCAAGTAAATATGGTCAAACCGAAAAAAATTAAGGAAAACCTACTTAACGAAAACGACCTATGTTTATACATTAACATGATCTTGAAATCGACAACATTAATAAGCTTTGCACGATATAAGGCGTATTTGCATGTGTGCATTGATCAGTATCTCTCCATGTGCGACAGCGAGACTTCGATCTGTTGAAAGTGATTAAAACTCTTCTTTATAGTGTTCTTCTTGTTCAACACTCATACTTAATTAACAACATTAAATTCCTCAAATTCTTTCGTTTTCTACGTTTGCGGGAAGAAGAAATTGCTCTCTTAATTTCCGCAATGTGGGATGGGGCAATAACGTGTTATGGTTCAAAACCATACTATTGTACACAAATAAAAACAAATCTAAATCAATTTAATTAGGCCGTTTTTTTTTATTGAACGAAAGTCAAGTTCCCATTGGCTCTTTCTCCATCGAGGTGGTATTTAGGTAGTAGGATGGACTACGAGAAACGCCCATATCTATATCAATTTGTGGGGGAAAAAATCCAAAAAAAATTGTGCTTGTTTGAAGAGATAATTCAAGAGGCCACAACCAAAAATTCAATTTTCTAGCTAGTTGCAAGTTGCTAATTAAGAGCTACCATAGCAATTTGGATTACACAACAGTTGTTTTTGCTGACCATGTGATTCAATACACATTTCCTACCACACTTGTGTATATTTGCTCCGATATTTGAAGACATCCGTGATTACGACCTTTTACCCTAATTCTCATTCAATTTGGAGAGATTGGATAGATTCTTATGTAGGAACAAATATTACTAACTTTAGAGAGGAAAAAAAACGTACAAAACAAATAAATGAGCTTCATTGCAAAATCTTTGATCCTTGGTTTCTTTGGTCAAAACCTTAATCCATTTTTTTCTTTGTTTTGAAGAGATATTTTCGCCATCCAAATAGTATGGTAGATTGGTTATATACTCTCCTCTCCTCAATAATAGCTACTAGAAATCATATTGCACACTGGTTTTTCCGAAATCAATATAAGAAAATTCTTCATTCGATTATTTATATTTTCCATACTGATTGTGAGAAGTAAAAACGGAATCGATTGATACGATTTTGAATCTTTCATTCGCTCAATCTGTATGTATAAATAAGAAAATAATTAGTGAAGCTAGATCTCCCTACTCTTGATAATTTAGCTAAAGTTACATAATTCGAATATTGGCTTTTTTCAAATTTATAAAAGCTAATAACATACATATTCGGAGAATAACAATCACGCCATTGCCTTGTCTTCAATTTTCTTACCAGATGAATGTAACACATAATTTGTAGAAGTTACAATCTGCGTCAGGTTTGTATTATGCATTAAATGGAACACAGATGTCACATTTACTTTAACATGTTAGTTTTTAGATTAATATTCAATTATTTGTTATAAGTGATCACATCTACATTGTTTACTCATGTTATCTATAGCACTAGACCAAAGTGACTTAGGACCTAACTATTTTGATTATTATTTTTCTTTCATATCGTACATCAAGCACAAACCCCGCGTACTGTAATATTATCCACACCGCAAATAAGAATTACATTATTTAATTACACTGCTCCTAGGGTCCATATATATGGTCCACTTTTGCCATTTTCTAAAAGAAAGTCGGTCCATATACTATGGAGTTCTATATGTGCTAGTAAAAGAAACATAAATAGAAAGAGGGGGGTGAGGAGGAACGAAAGAAAGAAAATAAAAAAATAAAAAATAAAAAAAAACCTATATTGAGTAACAACCCAATAGGAATAGGATGAAAACATAATAAAGGTTAGGTAGGCTACTATCCATGCACCAAGTTAATTTCATTTATACAGGATTAATGAAGAAAAGATAACCATTAGTAGCCAATTTCAAGTATCCAATCAACTAGTCAAAATTACAGATTGCATGATCAAAAGGGAGAAGAAGAGAGATTTGCAACTTCAAAGTGTTCATCATCAGTTTTGAGGTGCTTCAAACGTATGATAGAAGATATACTATGTTACACTTTTTTCAGCATTATTTCAATTATACGATTCATGCATCTAATTAACCTAGTTCACTTGTTATTTAGTTAAGACGTTAAATATCAATTACTAAAAATATACGTGTTGATATATTGAAAGTGTCACACCTAAAGTGTTGCGAAAAGATTCTATACGACTTCAAACCTTCATCATGCACAGTAGGAAACCATTTCTATACTTAGCAAAATTGGTAATAAACTTCGTCAAACAAGAACCAATACCTCACACACATGATCTTTTACATAACTAAATGTCCCTCCAAAAGTTCACAATCTTTGCAACTAATCTTCTCTTCACCCTAAAATTACTCTTCCACAGAGAAATTCTCAATAACCCCCCAAAAAAAAAAAAAAAAAAAAAACCAACCCAACTCTGATAATTCACAATAGAGAAGAATGTGCAAAAAAAAAAAAATAAACAGTCAACGTCACATGAGAACAAACCTCTTTAAGAAGACAGACAGAGAGAGTACACAATGGCAGAGCATCTCTTATATATAAATTTCATAAGGGAGCAGAGAAGAAGAAGAAGAAGAAAGTAGGAATAGAATAGTAGAAGAAGTAGTTGTTGGATACAATGAGAGCTACTAGTGCTTCATCCATTATTTCCATCCTACTTTTATCACTATTCCTTAGTCCCACTTTTGCTGTCCAAAAGGTAAACAGATAATTTTGTGCCCTTTTTCTTTTTTTTTCTGCCTTCCAATTCCCATAATTAGCATTAAGTTATTACCATAATACTAGTCATAAGTACTACTCTTTTTGGTTCAAAATTGGAACTTTGCCAATTTTCATGGTTTGTTGTTGTTGTGGTTGTTACTAGTCTTATGTAGTGTACTTGGGAGCTCATTATCATGGACAAGATGTCTCATCCATGGACTATGACAGGGTAAAGGATTCTCATTATTCATTTCTTGGCTCATTCTTGGGCAGGTAATAATTTAAATCTCTCTCCTTTGAAATTCTCGAATCTCTTTTAAGATTCAGTGTCTGAACTCTGAAGTGATTTTACATGAAACAGTGAAGAAAAAGCCCAGAAAGCCATTTTTTACTCTTACACAAGACATATCAATGGCTTTGCTGCAGAACTTGATGAAGCAACAGCTCACGAGTTATCAAGTAAGCTATTTGCTTATCTGGGCTGTTTTAATATTCTCTGTTTTTTTTGTGCTGATTTTTTTGTTTGAAATTTGTTCTACCCCAAATTCAGGACACCCGGCAGTTGTATCTGTGTTCTTGAACAGAGGAAGGAAATTGCACACGACAAGATCATGGGAATTCATGGGACTTGAGCACAATGACAGGATTCATGACGAATCGTTATGGAAGAAGGCCAGATTTGGTGAAGACACCATTATTGCCAATCTTGACACTGGTGAGTTTTTTTGCTGATTAGTTTACACTTGCATCTTACATTCTTCTTCTGCATTTTCTGATGAATTCAGCTTTGAAAACAGAGTATAAATCATGAACAGAGGATTTTCTTTTCTCTGAGATAGCAGTTCTAGAAGAATTTTTTCTTTCTGCTATTTTGGGACTTTGATTTTTTTTTTTTTTAATTGGCAAGAAAGTTGGCAATGACTTGCTTGCATCTGGATCATTGACTTAATGATGTGAAGATTGATTATTTCTTTAATGCCCCATTCCTCAATTCCATACATCAATTATTTAAAGTTAGGAATCCTTGAAATCAACCAATAGTGTGCGACATTTCAAGTTTTCGAGATCTCATTGGGGTGCTGTCATGACTCGGCACGTTGGAACATGACAAAATCTTATGTAATTTAACGTTATTTTAATCAACAACAATAAGCTTGTATGGCCCAAGAGCCATATTTCCATCCTCCACTGCTCTCATCAAACCTGATTGATTTTGAGTGGCTAAAAAAGTGCATTATTTTTCATGATGATTACTGCAACCAAATTCAAGAAAGTTTCTCTTTAATTTGGAGCATGCATTTTGCCAGAAGTTGCCTGGCTAAATAGATTGGACTGGTTGTCATTTCCCCTGTAGATGCTCGTTTTTTTTCTGTTTAGTGTTTGCTGAAAATGTGGAATGGTCAACCATTTTTAGATCATTTCTGAGAAATGTAACTCAAATGAAAGTAAAGCAGCTAATAATCATAACATTTTTCTTTTAAGACGTACTTTGGTACTATATATAATAACCTAATGGAGTATTAGGAACAAGTAGATTGATGATGAAGCTAAAATTAGAAGCAAGAATGGTTCTTCCAGTTTGGTTAGTTCACTTTTAACCGTTTCCGGTTTATGGAATGGAATTAGGTGTATGGCCAGAGTCACCGAGCTTCCATGACGATGAATTGGGACCAATTCCAGCAAAGTGGAAAGGGATCTGCCAAAATGGTGAAGATGCAACTTTTCATTGCAACAGGTCATATTCCCTTGTGTCCACTTTCTTCATCTTATCTACTCCAGCTTTTTTGAAGATTCCCTTTTTGGTGCTTGTTTAGCTTTTATATGGAAAATTCTAATAAGTTTTAAGAAACAAAAAGGAATCCATACTTTAAACAGTTTGAACTGACATAGCTCTTTAATTGTGGATTGAAGGAAATTAATTGGAGCAAGATACTTCAATAAAGGTTATGCTGCAGCAGTTGGATCTCTCAATTCTACTTTGAACTCTCCTAGAGATAATGAAGGCCATGGAACCCACACATTGTCGACAGCCGGTGGTAATTTTGTAGCCGGAGCAAGTGTATTTGGATTCGGAAATGGAACAGCCAAAGGCGGATCGCCCAAAGCAAGAGTGGCAGCTTACAAGGTTTGCTGGCCACCAGTGGATGGAAATGAGTGCTTTGATTCCGATATTTTGGCTGCATTCGATATGGCTATCCATGACGGCGTTGATGTGCTATCAGTATCACTTGGAGGAGATCCCATAACCTATTTCAATGATAGTGTTGCAATTGGATCATTCCATGCTGTGAAGCATGGTATTACAGTAATCTGTTCGGCTGGTAATTCTGGCCCGGCTCCTGGTTCCGTTTCCAATGTTGCACCTTGGCAGATCACAGTGGGTGCAAGTACTATGGATAGACAGTTTCCCAGTTATGTTGTCCTTGGAAACAACAAGACCTTCAGAGTCAGTAGTTTATCACTTTTACACATTCAGTCTTTACTTCAGTAATCATATACAGCTCTTTTCATTAGGTACAATTCTTAATAAAAACATTCCTCCGAACAGGGAGAAAGCCTTTCTCAAAAAGCAATGACAAAGGGCAAGTTCTATCCTATAGTCGACGCTAAGACTGTTAAGGCTGCAAATGCATCATCTAAAGACGCGTAAGTTGCACACATATTGGTACAGTTGTTGTCTTAAGCTTAATTTCTCAATACAAACCGGCATCATTTTTTTTTTTTTTGAATACCGTGTTTGTGTGATCTAATAGTGCGCTTTGTAAGCCGGGAACACTTGATCCTAAGAAAGCAAAGGGAAAGATCCTGGTGTGCCTTCGTGGGGATAATGCAAGGGTGGACAAGGGCCAACAATCTGCTTTGGCTGGAGCTGTAGGGATGGTTCTCGCGAATAATGACCTTTCAGGCAATGAAATAATTGCGGATCCTCATGTTCTTCCGGCATCACAGATCAATTACACTAATGGACTTGCTGTCTATGATTATATTGCTTCCACAAGGTAAGAAAACCTCCCAAGATCATTAACATGTCATGTAAGATTCCTCACTTTAGGATGCTTGTGCTATTAGGAGCATAGGTCGGATGCCCAATGATCATGGTGGAAAGATGAAACTGTCATCCATTTATAAGATATATTCCTTCTCCTTATATTTCCTGTTCTTTCAGATCTCCTGTTGCTTATATTACATATCCAACAACTCAATTGGACACAAAGCCAGCTCCATTCATGGCGGCATTTTCATCAAAAGGACCAAATACTGTGACACCTGAACTTCTCAAGGTTAGTTCAGCAACTACTATTTTCTCGTTAAATTACTTTGTTACTTTTCTACTTCGAAAACGCCATTGATCCTTTTAAACTCTTGGCTCTTGCCTTTGACATGGTTATGATGATGCCATCTACAGCCTGATATCACCGCACCAGGCGTTAGTATAATTGCTGCATATACTGAAGCACAAGGACCGACTAACCAACCTTTCGATACACGCCGAGTTCTCTTTAATTCGGAGTCAGGAACTTCAATGTCCTGCCCTCATGTTGCAGGCATAGTTGGCCTCCTGAGAACCCTCCATCCGGATTGGAGTCCAGCAGCAATCAAATCAGCAATCATGACATCTGGTAAGTCTTCATCACAAGTTAGAATCATAGGCATTAATCTGTTTTCACTACATTGCATACTGAAGAAATTTTGAATAATATCCCTTCTTTTACAGCAAGATCCAGGGATAATGCTCATGAGCCTGTGACAAATGCATCTTATGTAAAGGCCACAGCATTCAGCTACGGAGCAGGACACATTAGGCCTAATCGTGCCATGGATCCCGGATTGGTCTATGATCTAACCTACCAAGATTACCTGCGGTTTCTATGTGCACAAGGCTATAACGAAAGCGAGATACAAGTTTTCACAGAATCGCCCTTTAAATGTCCCAAACCAATGAGCCTCGTCGACTTGAACTACCCTTCCATCACAGTTCCAAACCTCAAAGGTTCTGTCACAGTGACTAGAACAGTGAAGAATGTCGGCGAACCAGCTACCTATAATGCTCGCATTTATAGCCCACCTGGATTAACCGTCAAAGTTCTACCAGAAACTCTAAACTTTACGAAGGTTGGTCAAGAGATGACATTCAAGTTAACCATAGAAGCTAGAAAGAAAGGCGCAGCTCAAGATTATGTGTTTGGGAGATTGATATGGTCTGATGGGAAGCATTATGTTAGAAGTCCTATAGTAGTAAAGGCATCAAGCTGATCAGAAACATTGTTCTTGAACGATTTATTCTTCCGATTTATAATTCTACCATTTACTTAAAACCAATCTCCCATCTGATCAATCATGAGTTTCTGATGTTCTGCCTTTCATATGAAACAACACTTGAGAAATCATAGCAGAGCAACATCAATCAGCACTGCGAGACCTTAACCATTTTGGTAACTCAATCAACCAAGGAAGATCCACCATTTTTTTTGCATAAAAATGTTCCCAAGGTGTATTAATCATAGTTACACTCTGTCTCATTCATTTGTCGTGTACCAATCTTTGCGAGTCAGCCTTACAACATTGTGGTATTTGTTAAATTTCATATCTTTACCTCGAAAGGCATAAAACTGAAGTATAAATACGTATATTTACTGAATGAGTTCCAACATGAAGTACTGAGTGGTACAGATGTCCTCATTTACAAGATATTCATAAAGTAGTGACATAAGAGGTTAGACGTACTAACTACACAAATTAACACCAATCTACAAAATTTGCTGCCACATCCACTTCAATCAAACTAGAAGGCATCAGGTGCAACAAATGAAACTTTCTTTTGCTCATCATAAACGGAACACCGCCGCTTCATCATCGATTGTAGGCCTCTCAAGGGTACTTGTTGGAGAGTTTGAACATTGTGCCCGGAAGACCGGAAGTTAGTGTCCTTAACGAGTTGATGAAATCTTGCAGCCAAAATCCTTCATGTATGGCATATGGATGGAGAAAGGCTTCAAGTGGAACACTGGGAGATATTCAACACCAAACCATTCTTGAATTCTACATACGGATGTGCAATTGGTTCTTCACCATCTTCTACCCTCCATCTACATATCACAAAAAGTCATTTTAGTTATGAGTACAACTGTAGAAACTACACTCTGTATTGGAAATATGTTATTCTATAAATGAAACACGGTTGGTACACAACAAACACGACAATGTATCTCCTTCAATTAAATAAGATAAGATTTTGGGTCGCATTTCAATAATATTTTTTTTTTTTGTACTTAATTAAACCACGAACCTGTAATTTTGAATGAGGTGATGCAGAAAGAAAGCCACCTCAACCTTGCCGAGTTCGGACCCGGGGCAGCACCTTGACCCGCCACCAAAAGGTGTAAACTTCTTGCATGCTTGATCTTCATTCTATATAATCACAAGCCATGCACCCGATTAAGTCAGAACACAAATGTTCACATCAAGATTTTTAGTTTTCTCTTTAATGAAAATCAATAATCATAAGAAATAATATTTTGACTAGAACACGACAAATACACAATAAACATAAGTAGAGACTGAATAGTTACCTGCCATCTCCACGGGTTGAAATGGGAAGCATTACCATGGATAGATGGGTCCAAGTGGACTGCGCTGAAAATGGGTAGGACCTTCCAACCCGATGGAATCACATAATCTAAACACACAAAAAAAAAAAATTGTTAATAAATAATACTAGTACGAAAGGGGAGGATTTTTTAAGCCACTAAATTTAGTTCTTTCATACACTAATTTTCAATTTGGATCATTTTGCCCTTGCCATTTGACCAAACCAAATTGAAGGAGAGAGAAAGGGAGAGAGAGAATAAGCCACTCGGACCGAACCGGGCAAGTCATCCGATCCGATTCGTGTGAGAACGGACAAATTATTAATATTTATTTTAATACTAGTTTATTCGCAGTATCGCTGACTGTTAAATACTTCGTACTTTAAATATTATTAACAATATTTATACTTTAGTTCTTAAACTCTCAACTTTATATTTACTTGAAAATAAACAAGTAATTAGTTTTTTCTTGAAAATAAATTTAAGATTATTTGTTAAGTTAATTTATTTAAATTAATGTTAAAATATAAAATTTTGGTTCTAAGATAATTTTTAGTTAAAATAATAATTATACACCTAACTAATAAAAATTTAATGACATAAAAACTAGATTAACTAATTACAAAAAGAAATAAACAAATAACAAAAAAATTAAAAATTTAAAAATAATAATTATACATTTAACTAGTAAAAATCTAATGACATAAAAACTAGAGTAACTAATTACAAAAAATAATAAAAAATTAATAATTAATAATTAATAATTATGCATTTAACTAATAAAAATTTAATGAAATAAAAACTAAATTAACTAATTACAAAAAAAAAAATTTAAAAATTTAAAAATTAAAAAATAGGTCTGATCGGACCGAACCAATATGCAAGACCGAACCAAACCGAACCAGACCGAACAAGTCATCCGTCCTTCGGCAAAGGAAGACGGGCAATACACACGTCTCGGTTCAAAGGTGAACGGACAATACACCCGTCATAGGTTTAAAGCGGACGGGTAGTTCACCCGTCCCGAGTTAACTCCGGACGGGCAATGCACCTGTTCGGGCAAACAAGAGAACGGCCGGTCCACCCGTCCCGGACTAATTCGGGACGGTTCTTTGCACGACCGGCCGGGTTTTTAATTTTTTTTTTAGTTTTCAAATTTTTTTTTTAGTTTCTCTCTAATCAAGTTACTCGGTTTGAAAAAATAACAGAGGTAAAATAATCAAAATTAAAAATTTATGGCAGCTCTACGAAAAATCAAAATCAAGATAAAAAGAAGATATACACGCTGCCAAAAAGCTTTATGCATGCATAATTGGGGGAAAAAAGCAGTCTCTTGTTGTCATGGCAATTTCTGCAGTATTTTAATTGTTGGCAAAAAAAAAAAAATGTATTATTTGAAGTGAGCACCAAAAAGCATACCTTTAAATTTGACATCTTTAAGAGCCTTTCGGTGGACAAATTTCACAATGTTTCCACTTCTCAGAGCTTCATTTATGACCTGCGGCCGGTCAAAACTATTATTAATATGACCTAATTAAATCATCATGCATTTTGTCGACACAAAAACTAAAAGCAACTTTTACCAACACGGATCGTACTGCTACAAACTTTTACCGTATTTAGAGAAAAAAAAAAAGTACTCTTAACAATATCTTGATGAAACTAAGGCCTCAAATGCGATCTAACGGTTCATAACATTTTACACTATTGTTTACATTGTCTTACTTGCATTGGGGCAAAACAAATGATGATTTATAAGAGAACTTACAAGTTGAGTAAAGGACATCTTCTTGTAATCTTCCCAATTCAGGTTCTCATCTTTCTCCTTCATTTTCCTTATGCCCTCATGCTCTATCTGAAGATTTTTAATTTTTTTTCCCATCAATTTTCAAAACCCCAAAAGTACTTTCCAGGAGTGAAAAAAAAAAAAAGAATAAATTGAATGGTAAAATCAAATACCTTTAATTGTTCAAGGATAGGATTTGAGTCACCAAGACCAAGGAAGTAAACCACCATAGCCATGAGAAGGAATGTGGTTTCATACCCACCCAAAAGAGAATCTAACACAAAGCTGACTTTTTCATCTTCAGATAAGGTATCCACACAGAGTAAAATCTCAAGAAAATCACTCCTTTGTTTACTGCTGATTGATGATGAATTTTTAGGAATATCATCATCAACATATTTAGCTGCTGCTGCTGATGCCCTTCTTCTTTCCTCAATTATTGCCCTGACAGTTGAAGATATTCTGCTTCTAGCCTGTAAAGAAAAAATAATGGTTGATCACCATGTGCCTCTCAAAAAGCATAAACCCAAAAATTTTAACATTTTTTTGTTCTTTTTTTTTTTTTCTTTTTTGTGGGACATTTTTAAAGGGGATGAGGAAAACCTGAACAGCTTTTGCATAGGCAGTCCCTGGAATGTAGAGTGGTAATGAAATTAGCCCTTTCATGAACAAAAGAAAATCTTGAAGAATTTCTGCTGTTCTTGGCTCATCAGCCTTCAACCCAAGCACTTGCTTTACTATTACATTGAATGCAAACTGCAAACATGGAACCCAAAAAAAAAAAAAAACAACCAAACCCATATTAGATTTCTTCTTAATGATTCAATCAAACTTATTCTGAATGCTAATTAAAAAAGTTACTTTTTTTTTATTTTTTGAGACAGATGGAATAAAAAAAATATTGTTAATTAGTAGTACCTTTCTTGCTTCATCACAGAAAATGACTTGTTCTTTATCTTTCCATGAACTGAGCATCTGAACTGCGATTCCTTCAACATCATTAAGGAACTCAGGTTTGGATTTAGTGGTATTGACTAATGAAAGAGCCACATTTCTGAGCTTCTTGTGAGTTTCACTAACTGCAACCAGCATTGAGACTTTGCCAAGAATGCCATGGATGGGTTTTGGATAGCTGCATTGGAAAAGCTTATCTTCATTCTGTAGGATGAAGTAGTTGAGCTCTTGATCACACGAAACCACCGTGGGAGAGAAGAATAAATGGGATGTAAACACTTTCCCATACCTACATTTAGAAACAGATAAATGATCAAACATTGAACATATTATAGAAGGAAACTGCTAATATTGATTTAATGTTAAATTTTTTGCTTACCTAGAACAATGTTGTTGAAGGTAAGATCCAATGGAGTTAGAAGGATGAGGATTCAAAAAGGAAAGGGTTTCTCCAAGTAATGGCCACCCAAAAGAACCTTTAGGAACAAGTCCATGCTTCAAGAACAAGGGTAAGAAATGATTCAAGATTATCCCAAACAAAAAACCCACCAAGCCAAAAACCATGACATTGATCCAGAAACAACAACCAGATGCTGCCATGTTTGTGTTGTTGAAGAAAGAACACTCACAAAAAAAAAAAAAAAAGAAGAAGAAAACCCTTGAAAGAAGGACCACTTTTATACTTCTTGATGTTGTTGTTGTTAGTTAATTTGGCACCAAACGTTTGCTATTTTGCTAACCCTTTTGGGTGCATAAATATATATAGAGGGATGGAGACGGGGATATATTTAATGGCGGTGTTATCATTGATTCAGCATTATAGTCTTTCATCTAGCTTATAATTGATTGATGTTTTTGGATTAACAGTAATTTTTTCCCCCATTAGATTCCGTTCTGTATATTATATTAAATGAATAAATTTTTTTTTCCTTGGTCAAAAATGAATATATATCTACATTTCTAAAACGAAATTAATTGACATTTGATGACATTGTCAGCCGCATAGGAAATGAAATTGCAGACTAGTGCTTAGGCTAGGTAGCCTAGGATCTAGATAGAATACAGAGCTAGCTAGCTAGGCCTTTGGTAAAACCTTAGGGGCGCTGGATTTGGGAAGAAGGAAAAAAAAAAAGAACAATATTAATATTACATTTCAACTGCACGCACCTGCTTTTAAATAATTGTCTTTTGTTTATTATAATTTTGGAACGAAAAAAAAATATAATACCGTATTATTTTTTAAGTTCAATCCTGAGGAATGAAAGAAAGTCTTTGCAATAACAGGAGGTGATGGGGGGTGACAAGATTCAGATGCAAAAGCCAAAAGGGTTCTCAAATTGGGGGATAAAAATTTGTACTGACACTACTACTCCTACTACGTACCTTGTCCTTCTTGTACGTGTTTATTTATGCACACGCACGGCCTTGAGAGTCAAAAAAAAAAAAAAGAAAGAAATTAATCTAATTAAAATTTTTAGAAAAGAAAATTGCACAGAAACAGAAGGAGTAATTAATTGCGCCAATTGACAACGCACACGCACGGCCTAGAGAATCAAACTTAATTATTAAAAACAACTCACAGATTCAGAAGGAAAGGAGCAGGAAAATGTGGAGTTATGCATTGTTATTGGTTTTGTTTCTCCCTCTATAATGCAATAGTTTTCTTAGCGGTATATATCTCCCGATTTTATAACAATATAGATTTACTACGAGGTACTTATAAATTTTTATTCGGGCAAAATGCAATGAAAAATATAAAATTAGTATCTCGAAATTTCTTCGAAAAATCATAGATTCCAAAAAGGTGATAAACACTTATAATTTTATCAAATGCATTTAATTAATAAATACTTATTTAGTTCAGCACTTAATTCATTAATTCTTTTTTGATATTTACTAACTACCAAAACATATTAAGTAATAATTTTAATAAACTATTATCATCAAACAAAGCCTAAGCATACTTAAAACTCAAAGAGAACTAAAAACTCTGGCTCTGTTTGGTTCCTTTTATTTCTAAAGTTTTCTAAGTATTTTTTATTAATAAATATTCTATCTCAACGTATCTTTTTACATTTTAAATACATATTTTTACATTTTTTAAAGGAAAAAAATTATTAAAAATACACACTCAGAAAATGATCAAACATATGTAATTACAAAAATATTTAATCTTAAGAAGAAAATAATAATTTATTTTGTTAAAATAAAAGGATGGTAGAGCTACATTAATCTAAGGGTGGGTCGATACATCTTTTGTCGTAAAGACGACCGAGAGTAGTTTGACTCTCATAAAGTTCTTCGTTCCTTCTTTTTGTATGACCTTTTGTAAGAGAAAAAGAAGAAGAAATACAAGTAAATAAAGCCACCAGGCACCAGACATAATGTGCCCTAAGTGCTGGTAATGCATGATTACATTGCTTGTAATTAATGAGATTAATTAGGCTTTGACTGTAGCTATTAGCTACCTATATAGTCTCTCAAGGCATGAAGTTCCCCCACTGCCTTTTAGCTTTGTTTGCCTTTACGGTGTTTTAATCAAGAAATGCCTCCTCTTAACCCATTCATCTTGTCGACAAAAAACAATTGATAGTTATTCTCCATTTTATTTCTCCTAAAATGTTTGATACTCTAACTTACAACCTCACTCTTAATATTTGAAAAGATGAAGTTACCTTCCAAATCACATGTTATATGTCAATGTTGTTTCATCTCTAAATAATTGATACTTCTTTGTCCCAAAATTATTGTCCAGTTTGAGATTTCACCTTTAGAACAATTTAAACTAAAAATGAAAACTCAAACTTGACAATAATTATGGGACGGAAGGAGTATGTTATTGTACTTCTATTGTTTCCATATAACTATTGAAAGATCTCATGAGTAATTCTTTTAAGTTTTGTTCCTTTTGAATTTTGATGCGCACTTCCGAACAAACACGTACCCGGTCCGGTAAAGGAAAAATAGATTAGTCCATGCATCGCTGCTATCTGTGTAAGTTGACTATAATTACCCCCACAATCTCAAAATGAATCCGAGTTAAATTTTTCTTTTCAGTACAAATCATACTAGTCCGCCCGCCTTTAATGTTACATTCATATTAATTAAGAAAATAATATTATATAACATTAATATTATAATGTTTAGGTATCGGAAAAAAATATGATCGTATACACATCGCGATGAATGTATCCAAATTCGAAAGTTATATATAAATTAGTCACAGGATATGAATCTAAAACAAGTTGAAACACTGCCATAATCATGAGAACATTTGTTTCTGGACATTAACTTAAAAAAAGTTGAAGCACTGCCATAATCTAAGAAAAATGACAATGCTATATACGTCGTACATGGAGCTATGTTCCCTAGTGGAGTACTGTTTCCTCTGATGCAATGGGGTGGGAGGACTCATTTTCTGTTAGCCATTGTATTACCCAGTTAACTGCTTTGGCCATCCGCCATGATGGATCACTTATCTCAGGTACACCGCGTTCATCGTTTTGTATCCCATAGGAGTTGCTCCTGGAGAAGTTTGGCTCATGTATCAAGCCCTTCCATTGATCAAGGAAAAGAAGCTATCCGCAGATTTTTTTTTTTTTGGCCTTCCTTTTGGCTAGATCTATACGAAGGGGTAAAAGAGGATATACCATGATGTACAACATAGAATACCAGACTTGTACCCAAAATAGTAAATTCGACTATGTTGCTGAACCACAAATGCAATATAAAAGAGTAAGTCTGTAACTTCATAATGAGTAAGCTCTTTTATTTAAACTGAACTCATCCCTCCAAATTATCCATTGACATGTGCATGTACATGTGACCTCCATACTAAAAACAGAACATGAAGAACATAGAATTTTGAGCGGGAAAACTCACATAGATATACCACGATTGAAGATTTCATTGGCAGTTCTGATCTTATTCTTGGATTCCATACGAAGAGCATATGGTATGTAGAAAGATGCCTGAGTCAGGCCAATTTTATTCGCCTCCAGAAAACTGTAGACAACTTCAGCATCCATACAATTTCCAGCCTACCAATATATTTTGAAAGGCATAACAACAGACAGCAAATCAGAATCACTGGCAAATTGAAAGACAATCCAACAATGAAAAACATTAATAACACTTTGACACACATATTCTAACCAAACTTTGAGATACCGAAGATCACCCTTAGAGCGTGGATCATGCCAAAAACTGTGTACACATTGCTCCATTTTGTGTACCATGTCCTATAGCAACAACACCATGATGTAGTTGTGTTCCACATTCTCCAGTGAGACACCCTGGATTTATCACAAAAGAAACTTGCATTTTCAATAAACTAAAGTCTGACATGTTGCAACAAATTCGTTAAGAGTTCTGGGAGTAAAGTTGCCAGAATACCAAAAATTCCAAATTGTAATCAAACTACTAACTAATAGGGAACAAATATATTACTGATTGGTAAAGCTGGAAAGCTCTGCCTCCGGCTTCAATGCAACACTGATAGGATAATGTGCCAAATCAGCAATAAGGACTTCTCATCATGACCATCAATTGACACAACATGGGCATTCCTCTGAAACCAAAAACACTGTTAATCAATATTTGTAAGTCACCAAGTTAAAAGAAAATTCCAGAACACAACAAAAAGGAACATTATCCATACATAATACTGATTAACAGCTTGAGAATACATTATCCATACTTATCTTTTAAAAGCAAATATAATGCTATTGAGACCAACCTCAATTCTTCCTAAATGGATGAAGAGTATCATCAAACTGGTGATCTTCCTATATTAATTTTTGGATACATTTATTTTTTGGAAAACAAAAAAACAATAACAAAATATAATGAACGACTAAAATAAATAAACAAAAAACACATCCTAACAAATAATAAATCAATTCTCGAAATACAAACAAAGAACATTAATTGGCAAAATAATAATAAGCAGTAATTGAAAACAACCGATGTTAGGGGAAAAAAACCAGATGCTTACCCGCAAAAGGAGAAATCAATGGATAAGAAAAAGACTGTGGGAATCGTTGGCGGCTGAGGAATCATGATCGGATCTGAAAGAGAAAATATAAGGGAGCAGAACAGAACATAGTAGAGCCCCGATTAAAATTAAACCACCATAACGGATCACCAAAAAAAAAAAAAAACCAATTCACCATAAAACTTCTCGGCAATTTTCAGCCCCAAAAAGTTGACTTCACTTTAAACAAAATAAATGTGTACCTTGGTAAACGGATTTGACCAGGAATATGATCTCCCCTTCTTGACAAAACACAGTCGATGATGATCAGAAAATTTTTTCTGGATTTGTGAAGAGGAGAAACATCTAGTTAACTAACAATCCCTAAAACCATCTAAATTCTCATTGCTGATGTTTGTTTCTAGTGTTGTCAGTCTAACCCGAATTAAGAGAACCGGCCGCAGGAAACTCTTGAGGGGGCGCGGTGGTGCTGGATGTCGAGGTCGGATCGGAAAAAGGAATAGAAAATTTGAAGTGGCTGCTTATTTGAAAGAATCCTTTTAAGTCATCTTGTTACGTGCGTTGAGTTTTCTGAAATTTGGGAGATTTGATTTGCAGAATCTTC